CATTATCATAATCATTATCATTATCATTACCTTTACCATTATCGTTATCATTATCATTACCTTTACCATTATCGTTATCATTATCATTATCATTATCGTTATCATTATCATTATCGTTATCATTATCATTACCTTTACCATTATCGTTATCATTATCATTATCGTTATCATTATCATTATCATATCATTATCATTATCGTTATCATTATCATTATCATATCATTATCATTATCGTTATCATTATCATTATCGTTATCATTATCATTATCGTTATCATTATCATTATCATATCATTATCATTATCGTTATCATTATCATTATCATATCATTATCATTATCGTTATCATTATCATTATCGTTATCATTATCATTATCATTATCATATCATTATCATTATCATATCATTATCATTATCGTTATCATTATCATTATCGTTATCATTATCATTATCATTACCTTTACCATTATCGTTATCATTATCATTATCATTATCGTTATCATTATCATTATCGTTATCATTATCATTATCATTATCGTTATCATTATCATTACCTTTACCATTATCGTTATCATTATCATTATCGTTATCATTATCATTATCGTTATCATTATCATTATCGTTATCATTATCATTATCATTACCTTTACCATTATCGTTATCATTATCATTATCATATCATTATCATTATCGTTATCATTATCATTATCATATCATTATCATTATCGTTATCATTATCATTATCATATCATTATCATTATCATATCATTATCATTATCATTATCGTTATCATTATCATTATCGTTATCATTATCATTATCGTTATCATTATCATTATCATATCATTATCATTATCATATCATTATCATTATCATTATCATAATCATCATCATTATCGTTATCATTATTATTGTCATTATCTTTATCATTATCATTATCGTTATCATTATCATTATCATTATCGTTATCATGATAAAGAATAACCTTAAAAATAAATATTTCATGATTAACACCGTCACCAAAGACCCTTTCTATTTTTGTTGTGACGTCATGACCACTCCGACGTACAAATGACCTCTGCCTCGGACGCCCTACGGACCTCCCATCCCCCGGCACTCTTCTGAAAGCATACTGTTCCCTCCTCCAGGTGTGCCAGGGGGAGGGGCTCGAGGCGGGAAGGGAGCCAAGGGCGCAGGAGGAGGTGTCGGTCGCTATGGTTACCGCGGCATCTCCAACTCGGGGGGCTATGAGATGACATGGGAAGGTAAGCACGCTTCTGAGATAAGGAGGTAAGGTTGAAAAGAGGAGGTTGATAGATAGCGAGGGAGTAGATAGCTAAATGGAGAGACGAATAGAAAGTGAGAGAGAGAGAGAGAGCGAGGATATTGTTAAGTAGTTAAATAGATTAGATAAATAGGAACAAATAGAGAGAGAGAGAGAGAGAGAGAGAGAGAGAGAGAGAGAGAGAGAGAGAGAGAGAGAGAGAGAGAGAGAGAGAGAGAGAGAGAGAGAGGAAAAGAGAAAGAGAAAGAGAGAGAGCTATCATCTACATAGGATCAGCAGTGTTTGATTAACATGGATTTCAAAATAGGTAATAGCAAAATAACGCCCAAGTAGACATAACGGACTTCACAAAAATGAAGGTGAAATTATAGAATTCTGTCCCGCTGTCTCTTAATATTCAACACAAGGAGGCCAATTTGGAGCTTAATCAAGTTGATGCAGATTAGATGCTTCATTATAGCAACGTAATTGATAGAGCATGATTAAGTTGCAGGAGATTATAGGATTCTGCAATGTGATTATGCTACTAATGGGTTGGTAAGGACTGTAATATCTAGATCTGATCTAAGCAAATCCTTCGTTAAGAGAGAAAGCGTACAGCAGAGCTTTGTTATATAATTCAGGTATATCAGTAAAGATGAATGGTTCCGGAGAAATTAGCAATTAGTGTTGGCTAAAGCACATTGGTTGATTTGATCTGGTACAAGAAATATGGTTCTGTTCTTTAAGATGCCAATATCAGTCTCACAGGCGTACTAAGAGTGCGGCCTCTGTGTTGCAGATATCGTGTTGGCGATGCAGTTGTCAGCTATGTGTTTCGGGGCGCTGCTAGCGCTGTGCATCGTGGCCTGCTGTGCATACAAGATCTGCGGGCCAGCTCAGGAGGAAGACTGGGGGTCGCGGTACTCAGTCTTGAAGCCCGCGCCGCGTCTCCCGCCGGAGCTCCTGCGGGAGATCTACACGCTGCCCACGCCCACCGCCCTCTCGCAGGCCTCCTCCGCCGCCGCGAACCCCTCCACTGCCACCGGCGCGGACGCCACCGGGACTCCGAGCCACCGTGGTGCCAGCGGAGGCAAGGCCTCGGGCGTGACGTGTGCCAAGATGGAGGGCGGGCCGCGGGTCACTTCGGTGAGTGCCGAGCCTGTACCCAACAGCACCAGGGGCACAGCCACTAGTCTAGCTCACCTGCCCAACGGTCGACCCAGGGGACCCCCTCTCGGCGGGGACACCACCCCGGCCACTCCCCGTAGGCCCGCGTCGTCCCATTCCTCGCGAGGGCCCGTCGCCAAGCCCCCCCGACTTCTAAACTTAGGAGCCATGCTCGAAGGGCGGCCGCGGCTCCTGACCCTGTCGGCGGTGTCGTCGGCCCGGGCAGCACGTGCGGCGGCAGGTCGAGGCGCGGCCAACAGACTGGCGGCCCACAATCAACACAGTTCCACCCTTGACCTGGCCCGCGCTGCTGCCACCACCTCCACCCCCAGTCTGTCCCACAGGTCCCTCTCCGAGCCCCATACTGCGGTGGTCTAGCCGTGTGCCCGGGGTTCTGGGCTGTACGGAGTGGCTGTGTGACCCCACCGTGTGGCCCCTGACCCCTTCAGGCTGTGTACCCCCACCCCCTACCACCCACGCTAACTCATGTGCACCTTGGAGCCCACACTTCATGTTCAGGAACAGCAAGCAAGTGGAATTTCACAATATAAAATATGCCCCGGTTGCAACGATATTGCTAAGGCAGAAAGTAAGACATCTTTTGATGACCTTATATTTTAAAGGATTTTATATATATACACACATTTTCCTAATTCTCACTTTTTCATATAATTTTGCAACTAGAAACAAATTTGTTTTGTGCCATGAATGAGAACCAGTTCTGTTTTAAGAAACGCTACGTATGCAAATATCAGAAAATCTAAAGAACGTTTTCGATTTATTGTTTACACTGACATTTGCGTGGCATATGTAGTGCATATACAGACTACTGAAAATTGAATTCCACTTTACAAGTAACTTTCACTTATATTAGTAAACAACTAGTATACCCAGGGTTACAACCAAACTTTTTGAGAATACTCAAAAAAAAGAGAAAGACAAATACATTATGAGAATTAAGTAGCATTACACTCTTTTAAAAAACTCTGCCAAACATTGAAAATACGATGACTGAAAAAGGGGCGAAATAAACACATAAAAGGATTTACACTTCAACTTAAGAAGGTTTGTCTTTTTAAGTGTATAATTTCCTGCACTCTTCCCTTTAGATTACAATACATTTAAAGTACCTCATTATCTTATGACGTTCCCTTTGGTAGACGCATGTCTTAGTAGATTATTCGCAAGACTTCTGTCAGAGAGATAAACAAATGATAGATTATAACCTTTAACTGTGTCTTTCATGTTACGTATTTTCAAGTACATTAACGCTGTCAGAAGTCTTTTTAAATCTACATAAATATATAATTATTTAAAATTTTAATCATACCATTTTGTTATCTTTATTCGCATAAAGAGATGGGCCGATTATTTCCACTCTGGCTTTGTGGACTTACTTTAAAATAGATAAATGCTACTTTTTAGATGAGCACTTTAGGGATGTAATTATAAGTAGAAGCGATATATTTGCAATGGTATGAACCTTCCCACGTAGGCACGCAAGGATGTCTTTAAGATAAATCTAAATATATATATTACATCTTATGAATTCATTAGTCTTTTTTATACTAGCTATGCTTATCGCCGCTTTATGCAAGGTGACCTTCAGCTTCTAGTGTGGTGTAGAATTTTAGGCTGAAATAACTAAAAGGTAGAGCTTCAGATTCACTTTGCTCAGGCCCTTTATAGATGTGTACATATATTTTTCTTCCACATAAATCTCCCTTCTATTTCTCTTCATGTTTTGTGAATGTTATTTTTTTTTTCTTTTTTTTTTTTTTTTCTTTTTTTTTTGCTGAATCTCTTCAGTTTTCTGTAAGCCTCTATTTTTTCAGCAACATATTTGTTTCTGTTGTTTAGGTTTAGATCCTGTAGATTTGTCAGAATTCCTTTGTTCGCTCTCTGTGGGATTAGATTCTTTCAGCGGTGTGTGATCTAGTTGTTCTTGTTTCAGTTTTTTTTTTCTATTTATGTTTTGAATTACCATCTGCCCTCTTGTTATATGTGATTTATTTGAGTTGTCATGCAGCAAGACTAGATATCAGTTTCTGTTGTGTTATTCGTACATAATTTGATATTTACATGTTATACTCACATGTAAATATACATGTACATATACTCACAGTCACTCCTCTTACACATTCTGATTCACACTGTAGATATGTATTTCTATATGCACACGCACAGTGCCATGAGAGTGACATCTCTGTACATAATGCACTGTCAATCTTCTGTAGGACTAGTATACATAAATATGTTTTTTTTGTACACTGATAGTATCGTATAATTATGTAGCTGCTGAGAGCCAAACGCTGACTCAAAGATTTAGTTTTCAGTGTTATTCAAAATTCCTCCATTTCTTTCCATTATTAGTTTTCCTCCCTTTTAATCACATACACCTCCCTTGTCTTCTTTTTCCTTCGTTCCCGCTATTTCTTCCTCTTTTCGTCTCCTCCTCCTCCTCCTCCTTGCGCGAAAAACGACAATCTCTCCTCTCGAATACACTCACCGCCAGGGAGTGTAGGACCTGTGTCTTCCTCCCCCGTCCCTGAATGCAGGTGTTCCCCCG